AGAGGCTGGCTTTGAACCCCATTCTCCTCTCTCAGCCTCCCAAGCCGCTGGGATTACAGGTGTGTACCACTGTACCCAGCCCTCCCCAGCCCTTTTTATTTTTTATTTTGAGACAGGGTCTCACTAAATTACTGAGGCTGCCCTCAAAATTGTGACCCTGGGCTGGGGATGTGGCTCAAGCGGTAGCACGCTCGCCTGGCATGCGTGTGGCCTGGGTTCGATCCTCTGCACCACATACAAACAAAGATGTTGTGTCCCTGAAAATGAAAAAATAAATATTAAAATTCTCTCCCCCCCCCCCGCCTTTAAAAAAAAAATTGTGATCCTCCTGATTCACTTTCCCAAACCGCTGGGATTACAGGTATGCACTACTGTGTCTGACTGAGTCTTCCTTCTGCAATGTGTGAAGGGGATACACAATGAAAGGCAGGGCTAACCCTTGTCTCTAGAAGCTTCTAGTCTATCCATCAGTCTACTTTTTGTACTAGATACTACTGGCAGGGCAGAGAGTAGGAGACCCAGAACCAACAAACTGGGGTTGGGAAGACTGGGTTGTCTGGCCGTTGGGAACCTGGAATAGATTCATAATCGCTCTTTGACCTCACCTTGGCTTTAGATAACAGGTGTATCTCAATACAATCTTCCTCTCCCTCCCACCAGCTGGACATTCCAGTGCACTTCTACACATATACACACACACACACACAAACACACACACATGCATACACACGCCATGCATACATGCACAAACACATCATTGCTCCTATAACCCAATTTGGCCCAAGAAGGGACCACACTCAATGAACATGCTCAGCAAGACACAGTCCTGGATCCATATTATATACACTTCCACTCCAATTCCTCAGAATCTGGGATTGTAGAGACCAGCCCACCATTTAGGGGCTGCATTGGATCCTTCATGTGTGTGTGTGTTTCCAAATACGTCTCTCATTTAAGATTCTAGAAAAGACAAGGGAGATAAAGGAAGGAAAGGGATCAGGATCTTTATATTCTGGTGAGTGTGTCTGCATGTGATTCTATGATTGTAAGTGTGAGACTGTACCTTTGAATGTGAGTATGAATGCTGTGAGTGTATGTGGGTGTGTATTTGACCCAAGATCTCGTCTCTTTGCCAGTAGGTTTTTCTGGGTAACAGGGCAACGCCCTGTGCAACTCCTGGGTGGCCTAAATCTTGGACTGACTGCTTGACTGACTGACTGACTGACTGAGGGTGCATCCATGCTGAAAACAGGTCAGACTTCAGTAAGTAGCTTCCCATCCCCCTCCTTTCTCACCAAGGAACCATTGCCCAGGATAAAACCTGTCTGCCCAGGTGATGCAAACCTGGAACAGAAACCCTGGGGATGCCCCCAAATCCAGGAACCAGCTGTGTACCTGGAAGAGTCTCATTCCCTGCCCTGCTAGATCCTTTTCCTGGTCTCTAAAAGGCCAGCTTTCTTTCTTTACCCCACCCAAGTCTTCAGTGTCTGGGGAGAACTTTAAGACATGCTAGAAGAGTAATAAAATCTGAGCTACCTTGTTCTTTGGGAGATAGTAAAAGAGAAGGTGAGGTATGAATTGGCGGTGGGTTTTATGAATGTATTTCACCTCAGATTCTATCTTTTTAAAAAATATTTTGTTAGTTGTTGATGGTCTTTTATTTATTTATATGTGGTGCTGAGAATGGAACCCAGTGCCTCACACATGCTAGGCAAGCGCTCTACCACTGAGCCACAACCCTAGATTCTTTTTTCTTTTTTAAATATTTTCTTAGTTATCAAAGGACCTTTATTTTATTTATTTATATGTGGTGCTGAGAATCAAACCCCATACCTCAAACATGCTAGGCAAGTGCTCTACCACTGAGCCACAACCCCAGCCCCCAGATTCTATCTTTTAAAAAAATTATTATTATTATTATTATGTTAGGTGTAGATGGACACAACACAATGCCTTTATTTTTATGTGGTGCTGAGGATCGAACCCAGTGCCTCACACATTTGAGGCAAGCATTCTGCCATTGAGCCACAATCCCAGCCCCCAGATTCTATCTTTAAAAAATAATAATAATAATAATTTTTTTGTAGTTGTAGGCATGGACAGCATGCCTCTATTTACTTTTGTATGCAGTGCTAAGGATCGAACCCCATGCCTCACACATGGTAGACAAGCAGCTCTACCACTGAGCCACAGCCCCAGTACCTCATATTCTATCTTTATCTAACTACTATTCTTTCCAAGGAAAGGAAATAATAAACATGTATTAAGTACCAGTTTATTAAGTGCCAAAATATGCCAGACACTGCTCAATACGCATAGTATTTCACTTAATATTCACAACAACCCTATGCTGTAGGTGGCATTCTTATTTTAGAGATGGGAAAAACTGAGACGTACACATGTTTACTAACTTGTGCAGGGTGCCAGAGAGGCTAAGTGGTTTGTCTTAAAGCCATATTTGCATAGTACTTAAAACTGAGATGTCATATGGAAGAATGACTGAGCTGATGGAGATTATTCAAAGGGCTAAAACTCCCAGCGCCCGCCCACCTTTGGTACTAGGGATTGAAACCAGGGTTGCTTTACCACTGAGCCACATTCCCAGCCCTTTTTTATATTTTATTTACAGAAAGGATCTCACTGAGTTGCTTAGGGCCTCATTAAATTGCTGAAGCTGGCTTTGAACTTAATATCCTCCTTCCTCAGCCTCCTGACCCACTGGGATTACAGGTGTGCACCACCGCACCTGAATACTCCCCAACCCTTCTTGAACTACTACTGTCCACATCATGATGAGTATGGCAGTGCTATGATTCAACACCAGGCCCCAAGTCCAAACTCTTTCCACTGGCAACACTGTCCCTCCCAGAGAGACTGGTTGCTCCAGGGGGCACTTCTGAGCAGCAAACATCCCAGTGTTTCCCAAGGATGGATGGTGCTTAGAAGTGAAATGAACAGAAGAAACCTGTTCAGCATCCCTTGTTCCTCCCCCCACAAGAATCTCAGCTTCCTAGAACCTCTCTTTTATTTATTTTTGTGACACTGGGGATCGAAGCCTGGGCCTCAGTCATGCTAGGCTTTACCACTGAGCTACACCTAGCCCCTCCCTCCCCCTTTTGAAACAGTTTCTCACTGAATTGCCCAGGCTGGTCTTCAACTTGTGATCCATCGTCCTGTCTGAGCTCCAGAGTAGCTGGGATGACAGGCATGTGCCACACACCTGGCTTAGAACTTCTCTCTCTTTCTTTTTTCTTTTTTTTTTTTCTTTTGGTACAGGGGATTTAACCCAGCGACATTTAATTTCTGAGCCACAACCCAACCCTTTTTATTTTTTATTTTGAGGCAGGGTCTAAGTTGTTGAGGGCTCCCTAAATTGCTGAGGCTGGCATTGAACTTGCAATCCGTTTGTCTTAGCTTCCTGAGCCACTGGGATCACTGTGCCAAACTTAGAACCTCTCTTTTAACTTCAACACATCTTCTTCCCTAAACCTTTCCCCTTTTCCATCCTATATTCATCTTTTCTGGTTGTAAAGTTGGGAAGAAACCACAGTAGGGTGCAAAAAACAAAACAACCAGGTAGCAAAAATATCTCCCACATAGATTGCTTTAGAGGTGAGTAACAAAGTAGGCATCTGAACTCTTTTCCTTACTCCAACCCCAGACTTTGGGGTTTGTAGCTGATGGGGGGATAAAGGGAAAGGTAGGTCGGGGCCCATTAGAGTTTCATGGTGCTATCTTCCAGGGGCTATATTAAGAAATATTTGAAATATTTCAATATAAGAAATATATTGAAAGTGTGGAAGGGGTTGGAGATGTGGCTGAAGCGGTAGTGCACTCGCCTGGCATGCGTGCAGCCCAGGTTCGATCCTCAGCACCACATGCAAACAAAGATGTTATGTCCGCCGAGAACTAAAAAATAAATATTAAAAATTCTCTCTCTCTCTCTCTCTCTCTCTCTCTCTCTCTCTCTCTCTTTAAAAAAAAAAAAAAAAAAGAAAAGAAAAAAGAGGGCTGGGGATGTGGCTCAAGTGGTAGCGCGCTTGCCTGGCATGCGTGCGGCCCGGGTTCGATCCTCAGCACCACATACAGACAAAGATGCTGTGTCCGCCAAATACTGAAAAATAAATATTAAAGTTCTCTTTCTCTCGCCCTCTTTCTCACTCTCTCTCACTATTTCTTTAAAAAAAAAAAAGAAAAGAAAAAAGAAAGTGTGGAAGGTCACCAGGGTCAGAAATTGGGTACAAAACCCCAAGGAAGGAACTTCTGACTTCCCCATTTACCTGCTTGAGCAAAGTGCATCTCTACAGCTGCCATCCTGAACAGATGCTTCTCCAGTAGATTCTCTGGGGAACCCAAAGGACCAAAAGATGATCCCCCTCTCAAAGTAGAGGATCCCACAGACATCATAGGATCCCAAAGGTGGCATGGACTGTCCTTGGCATTGGAAGACTAAGCCCCAGGTGACCCATTTTCTGTCGTGGAACTCCTCTTCCTAGTTAGAGGGTAATGGCATCCAGCACATGCAATGCCAAAGTCTTCTCCCTGTCCACTCTGCTGTGCTGCTATTGGAATCCACTGGTGGTATCATCTTCCAGGGCCCTGTGTCTGACCACTGACTGACATTGAGCTTCTGTGGACTGAGATACAGGGGAGTATGGGCATTTGTATGTGCATGTGTGTTGTGTATACATGTTTGTGATGGTAATCCTATATGTCTGCCTCTGTCTCCGCCCCTTACCCCAAGATGCATTTCAAACCCTCTCCTTATCCAGCATCTCCTTGTTCTTTGGGCTTATGCAGATCTCTATGAAGCTTCCTGTGGAGACCAGAGGCTCATGATAGTCCTTGTGATCAGGATGGACCTCAGAGGAGCTGAGGCTGGGGCAGGCATTAGGGGCCATGTGTAGCTCCTGGGAGGCTTACATAAACACTGGTCGGGATGTGGAGGGGAAGAAGGGGTGTGCAATGGGCCCAGGAAAAAAAAAAAAAAAAGCAACCCCTGCCCCACCAGCCAGCTCAGCCTGCTTGGAAACATGGAACAAGGCTCACTTTCCTTCCTCCTGCCCCTCTCCCCTGATCTGCAGCTGTTCCTTGGGCTGGAAGGACTGCAGAATCTTGGGGGAGGGAGGCAGGGGAAGGAGAGGGAGAGGATGCAACTTCATAAATTTGGGATCTTTCTTGCTCTTCTAAATTAGGGGGGAGGGAGGAAGAAGCAATTTGCCAGAGAGATTTTCAATGCCGCAGGAAGGAGCTTTGGCTCATTAGAATGCACAGTTTGCACCCTGGAAAAAAAAAATCTGTGCTGGTTGCAAAAATGCAGACGTGTGTAGGGGCCCAGCAGAGATTTAAAAAAAAAAAAAAAAGCGCTAGCTCTGCAATGCAGGATCTCTGAAGTTTTGGTGCGATGAGGAAATGTGGGTCGTGCTCATTTCATTTGCTTGTTCCTGCTAACCTACTGTCCGCCTGACTCCAGCACAGTCTCCCATCCCAGCAAGAGCACTGCTGCTCAGAATGAGGGTCACAGGCCACCGGTGGGAACAGAGGACTAAAGTGGGGGTCTGGGATTAAAGTGTGGGGGAGGAGACACTTAAGTGATGGGTGGAAGTTGAAGTGATCTTTTGCACACTTACTTGTTCTCCAACTGGACAAGAATCTGTGCAAAAGTCCTTCCAGTTCTCCCCCACTTACCCATAACCCACCTTTGGGTCCTCCTCACCCCCTTCCTGTCCTCTGACAGACCACTGCTACAGAAAGGAACTTTGTACCAAGTCCCTTATCCCACAAATCCCTAAATTCTCCTTGTTCTAATCCGAGAGCAGGCACTAGCTGCATGCACAAGTGGCATCCTTCTTCCTAGAAAGAAGGGACAGAATAGCCTGATTTGAGGAGCCCAGGCTGCAAGCAAAGCAAGTCTTGGCTCTGGGCTTCCATCAGCACATCAACAGGAGGGGCTGGGGAGGGAGATTCTGTGCTCTCAGTTGGGGGAGGCCCTTTGTTCTTTGGGGGGTTAGGACTTTGGGTGGTATAAAATGCCAAGGGACAGCCTGGAGGAGAATATGCCTGGAGAAACCATGTTTCCTTGCTGGTGTTTGTTCCCTGGTAGCTCAGGAGAGACAAAAGGGCAGAAGCAGGATATAGGGCCAGGAGACAAGGGAGCCCAGTGCCCTTTCACTCTTGCCTCCCGTTCCTCCGGCCGCTGGAGGACAGGACCAAGTGTGTTTGTGCAGGCTGGAGGCTCACGCGGGCTGCCGGGGTCACATGGCCCGGGCATGTGCAGCCTGCTCCATTTCTACCACAACAACTCGCTCATAAACAGCCCGGCTGCTGCGGTGGTGGCGGCGGAGACATGTGCAAGCGAGGGGGTGGGGCACGTGGCCCTGCCCGAGCCAAGGGAAGGCGGTCGATCGCTCAGCATTGCCTCCACCCCTCCCGGTACTGGCGCTGCCTCGCCACAGGAAATTCCTAATGCTCCGTTGCTGCTGCAAAACATGTTTTGGGGAAGTGACTTTCAGTAAGGATGGAGTCAATAGACTATTTGAAAAAACATATCACAGATAATCAGTCCAACACCAACTTATACTTGCCCTCACTCTATCTTTCTTAGCACCCTGAGGTGGAGGGCTAAGCAGGAGTCACATGCTCATTATTCTCACCAATTCTGTCCTCCTGAGTTATATAAAATTGGGACTCTCTTGGGTGAACATTGAAGTAAGGGGCTGGAATTCTCTAAGACCATTATTCTCAGCATCAGCAGCAGGGCCAGCATCACTTTGGAACCTGTAAGAGATGCAAATTCTCAGCCGGTTGTGGTTGTGCACACCTGTAATCCCCGTGGCAAAGGAGGCTGAGGCAAGAGGAACTCAAGTTCAAAGCCAGCCTTAGCAATTTATCGAGGCTCTAAGTAGCTCAATGAGACCCTGTCTCTAAATAAAATAGAAAATAATGCTGAGGATGTAGCTCAGTGATTGAGTACCCCTAAGTTAAATCCCCAGTATAAAAAAAAAAAAAGATGCAAATTCTCAGCCCCATCCCAGGCCTACTGAATCAGAAATTCTGGGGAGCAGAGACCAGCAATCTGTTTTAGTAAGCACTCCTGGTAATTATGATGCATGCTGAGGTCTGGGAACCAGGGATCTAGGTGTAGTTTCCTCAGAGGAATGTAGGACCTGGGAATGTGTCTACCTTTCCTGTTTTTGTGGCTTCATTTCAAAGTTCAGCCAGAAAGCATAATCAGATTTAGTTTGACTCAGCATAAAAAGCATTTATTGAGGAGCTGGGGTTGTGGCTCAGTGGTAGAGTGCTTGCCTCGCATATGTGAGGCACTGGGTTCAATTCTCAGCACTGCATATCCTTTAGAACAACCAACTGTGGTTTAAATCGCTTTGAGGCTCAAGGTATAAATTGTTTTCTTGTCTATTTTTGCTGGCCATAGGGATGCTAAGATATGTCCATAGACTCTTGACTCCCCATGTGTAACTAAAAGGATGAGGACCATGCACATATGAATACACAAACTCATACTCCTTGGGATCTCAGAGGCAATATTAGGGAGAATCAAGAAAAGGAATGAGGTCCCAGAGGGGTGGAAGTTCCCTGGGCAAAATGTGTTTAACAGATAATAAGCAGGAAAAGTCTTTCAATAGAAGAGGGTGGGGACAACTCTGGCCTACTCCAGCTTCCTGAGACCCAGAGACTGTGACCAGAGGAAGTAGAGAGTCTCTGAGGCAGATCACAAAACTCCTGAGAATAAAACCTGAGCCTGGAAAATGACAGGAGAATAGGGAACAGACATCAGATCAAAGGGTTCCCTTACCCAGGCAAAACAGAGCAGGGGAGAAGGGAGCAAAAGCCAGGAATGGGGGCACGCCCAGCCCCTCTCCTCTGGCCTTCTCCCCATCACAGACAATGCTCAGGAGTAGAGCTTCTGCTACTGTCTCAGCTCTGACCCGTTGACTCCTGGTTTCTCCCTCTTTCATTTTCTGAGGAATTTCTTTCCCTCTGATTCTCATAGAGCTCTTTTTGCTTCTCTTCAAGGCTTCCTCTCTGTGCCTGACAGGCTCTGGGCTCAAGGAGCAGACAGCCCTGCAGGCTCAGCTTCAGTGACCTACATTGGTTCTCCCCTAGGCCCTGGGTGTGGGGGCTGAGGTTTCAAGATAGGAACTTGGGAATCTGGCACAGGTCTACAGATGATGACGTCAGGCAGATAGGCTGCAAAAGTGGCAGTGAGGGACTGTGAGGCAGAGGGCGCCACAGGACTGATTTCTCACTTTGTTATCTAAGGGCCTTTGTGGATAACATCATAAGAGTCTCCTCCCCCAAATGCAAAAACATTTCTGAGCAGTGACCCTTTAGATAGGAGCCAGAGGTCCCTTTTAGGCTTTGTCTCTGTTCATGAGATCTGAGAGTTGTTTCTGTCTGCTCCCCATTCTTGCTAAACCCACTCATTTGCTTCAACAGAAAGAGTTCCTCAGTCTTGATGTGGACAAATGGGTTGAGATCTCAGTTGATTTAATTAAGGGAAATGGAGGCTGAGAGAAGGTCAGATATGCACAAATTCGCTCACTTCTGGGCTTACCTGTACAGAGACCATGGTACTTTTTTAGACTCAAAGCTTCTGAAAAGAATCCAGAAGGAGCTTTAGGAATGAATCATCATTTATAACCCAGGACTCTGGCAACTGAATCTCTCTTTCCATCTACAAGCCTCTGGGGAAGGCAGATTTTCAAATAGGTGCCTTCCCTCCAGCACACTATAAGCCACAATGTTCAGGATGCCCACCACCTCCAGGTTGTGGATATTTTGTCCTGGCAAGGATAGCCTATGGTGGTGAAGGGGAAGTAGGTGGTGCTGGTGATGACAGAGTATGACAGATGAGCCTTTTGCTTGGGGCAGTGGGGGTGTGTGTGTGTGTAGGACTGGGTGACTCTCCTGTCCAAAGGGCTTTCCCTTGGCCAAACCACTCCCCAAAGCCCAGAAAGTACACAGCTTGGCACCCAGCCTGAGAGAGCATTCCTCAGGACTATGACAGGCTGGGGGATGGTTCCCACCATAAGAATGGGGGACGGAAGGAAACTAGCAGGGAAGGAAATGACCGCAAAGCTTGAGAGGTGGGCAGTTAGTTCCTAGTGACATGCGTATTTTTTGTTTTAGAGAGGAGGGCTGAGACTTGATGCCTTCCAAGGACCATGCAAAGGGTCTGTAGTCTTAGAACAGGTGACCCCTGGGTCACCTTTCCGCTCAGGGTCATCCCTGACGTCCCAAGTTGTCCTCTAGAGGCTCCATAGCTTGCTTACTTTCTCATTCCCTTATTCTGGGGCTGTGGTTGAGCTCGGGAGCCCCCGAGTGGCTAAAAACTGGCACTGCAGTTGGGCTGGGGGAGGAGCCCATCTAATCTCCAACTGCCCCTCCACCTCGCCCCTCCCTTTTCTTCCCACTAAGCTCAGAACTCTGGAAATAGCACCTGGTAATGGGAGCGCTGACAGATGCTGAGTTATAGGAGAGCAAGTGTCCCGGTCAGAGTCCTCAGTCTTCTATCTTGATCTTTTGGGGGCTGTCTCCATTGAAAGTCGGTGCCTTGGGGCTGGGGATATGGCTCAAGCAGTAGCGCGCTCGCCTGGCGTGCGGTTTGATCCTCACCACCACATACAAAGATGTTGTGTCCGCTGAAAACTAAAAAATAAATATTAAAAAAAAAAAAAAAAAAAGAAAGTCGGTGCCTTGGGAATCCTCCCATTCCTTTCCATGCATTGCTCCTTAACATGCCCCTAGTTAATGTGCTGTTTGTCTACCATGAGTTCTCCCTCTGTGGGCTCCAAGGCTTGTAGCTCTTGGGCCATCTGCTATTCATGACCCCTGTGACGTTGGAGGACAAATGGCCCCATGATAATTCCGAGTTTAAATTTATCCTTCCCTCCCCACTCGACTTATACCCTACTTTTCCCCCTCCCAGAGCATCACAATTCCTTTCAGCATGTTCCATAACCCCCAACTCCTTATACAACTCTTTAACTCCATATCTCTTGTAGGGTGAAAATGGACAAAGTCTATGTCAAAATTTTTCCTAAGCAAACTCATTCCCTCTTTTTGGCTTCATTTGACCTATTTTACAGCTTTTCCTGGTTAGCTCCCTTGTTCTATACACTCCCACTGGATTAATTTTTGCTGCCTAGTCCACTCCTTCCTCTAACACTATCTCCTGCCTGCTCTTTCCTTCCAGGGCAAATGTTCCCCAATACTGGAAGAGGGAGAGACACTGTTTTAGAAGTAATCTGTCATCTACACGGAGATAACTTCTTAAGGAAGGGGGTGGTGATGTTGGCCAGGACCAGCTCACCCACCCCAGGAAAGGCCCTGTATCAGCCCATAATTAGGGAACTCTTGGCTCTTGTCTGGTATGGGAGGATCTGAGCTCTCTGCCAACAACATGAAGAACTCTAGGGGAAATGGAGTTAGAGTAACGGTAACCAACTTACAGTTAGGGAATTAAAAACTTTACCCAACTCCATTCCAGTCTTGTTTTCTTTGCTATCCCTTCTCTCAAACCTGTCTCTTTTTCTGGAGGTTGGGGTCGAGAGGAGGAATGCTGGGGATTGAACCCAGTGCTTCAGCAGCATGCTGTCTACCACTGAGAGACACTCATTGTCTGTCCCATCTTTTAGTTGTGTAATTCTTTGATTGGCCAGGAAACTGTGAGGATATGAAATCTTTACGCCCAGGCAGTTGCATTCCTCTATTATACTCCAGCCCTCAACAACCCCACAGGATGCTGCCCCACAATCATCCTGAAGGGGGCACTTCTGTTCGGTTGTTAAGGTGGTGCCAGCTAAAAGGAGGCCCCAGGCAGGAAACATAACAATTGATCACGTGTTGGGGGTGGGGGTTCTCGCAGGGGCTGCTGGGACAAGGAAGGGAGGTCCACGTGGAGTGGGCGGAACGCGCTGAAAGTTTTGGCGGGGCCTCCGGACGGAGAAAAATAGCCAAATTTGAGTTGTGATTTTATTAAAAAAAAAAAGAGGGGGGGAGGGTGCGGGGTGGGCAACAGGGAGTTGTGCCTTCCCCTCGGAGAGGCCCTCACAGAGGGGATAAGGGGAGAAACACATGAGCATCCTGATCGCGGAGGCCTGCTGGAACGCAGGGCAAAGTTTCTGCCAGAAAGAGCTCTGAGCCCGGCCAGGCTTTGGAGCCGGAAGCCGTATGGCTCCATACTGGTTTTCCATCCCCCACCCTCCCAGAGAAGGGAAAGGTGGCCTCTCAGGCTGTGGTCTCTTTCGTTCCTGGCTGGCATTAGCCCAGCCCCTCAACTCCAGTCTTTATTTACCTTTCCAAGAGCCTCAGGAAGCCGCCCAGATGAATTCTCTCTCCCTGGGATGGAGCCAAAACAAGTCTCTGCTTTTTAAGACCTAGTTCTGCCCTGTTAGCAGGAAAATGCAGCTTTATAGTCATAAAGCTGGAAGAGACTTTAAAGATGATCTATTTAAATTTTCTTTTGAGTCTGGGAAAACCAAGTTCAGGCAGGTAAGAGGGCTCTACATGCTCTTACCACACCACAGCCATTCCTTTCAAAGAATGGAGTTCATGGAATTCTGTCATTCTTCTTAAGCCTGGGAAGGGTGGTTAAAGTTGCTTTAACTCTCTCCACACCATTGGCCAGAGGACAAAAGGAGTGGTCATTACCGGTAAAGTAGAAGACTATTTAGGGACTTGATTTATGAGTACTAAACCATTTTCTTAGGCTTCCTAACAGCAACTCCACATTCTCCCTCCTGGCCTTTACTCTTTGAAACCTGATTTCCTCACATAGCTTAGTTCAGACATAACCAGTTTGAGATCTATTTGGAAGAATTTCCTACTCAGAAGACTTCCCTTCAGGTTTTCAGTTTTGGGGGGTGGTTTATCCAGGTTATCTTAAGAATTGAGATGAAGATAGGACCTCCAACTCAAAAGTTCCAGTTTTAGTTTTGGGGGAGAAAAAGTAGGGTTGCTTAGTTTGGAGCAGTGAAACCTGGACTCTGTATTTCAGAGATCTTAACGTTCACCATTCACCAGGATACAGGGGTTGGAAGGGAGTTGAGGACTGATGTTGGATTGCCAGCTTTTTACTTTGCCAATAAGGGCTTTTTTTTCTTTTTCTTTTCTTCTTTCTCTTTGTTTTTTAAACCTCTTACTTATTTATATATGGTGCTGAGAATTGAACCCAGTGGCTTACACATGGCTAGGCAAGTTCTCTAACACTGAGCCACAAAACCAGCCCTGCCAATAAGGATATATAAAAACTACCATGCCTGTAATCCCAGGTACTTGGGAGGCTAAGGCAGGAGGAGGATCACAAGTTTGAAGCCAGCCTGGGCAACTTAGACCCTGTATCAAAATAAAAAAAATAAAGGGCTGGGGATATAGCTTAGTTGGTAGAGTGCCCTGCCTTGCGCTCAATCCCCAGCACCACAAGAGAAAACAAAGGAAAACAAAAATTAAAAGAGGGGAGTTAGGGATGTAGCTCAGTGGGAAAGTGCTTGCCCAGCAAGCATGAGGCCCTGGGTTCAACCCCCAGTACCACAAAAGTAAATAAATAAATAGATAGATAAGAATACAATAAGAGCGGCTTGAGGGCACATACTGGTAATCCCAGCAATTTAGAAGCAGGAGGGGCTGGGGATGTGGCTCAAGTGGTAGCACGCTTGCATACCAGGCGCTTGCATGCTAGGCGTGCGGCCCGGGTTCAGGTTCGATCCTCAGCACCACATACAAACAAAGATGTTGTGTCCGCAGAAAACTAACTAAATAAATATTAAAAAAAAAAAAAAAGGCCAGCCTCAGCAATTTAGCAAGGCCCTAAGCAATTCAGTGAGGATGTGCTCCTGGGTTCAATCTCCAGTACAAACACAGAACAATGCCCCCCTCCCCTCAAGAAAAAAAAAAAAAAAGCAAGTAAATAAATAAAATAAACAAACAAATAAATAAATAAGAAGAGCAGGGGTGTAGCTTAGTGGTATAGGGCCACTGAGTTTAATCCCAGTACTGCAAAAAATAAACTAACAAAAATCTACCACCATCAATTGCTGTTTATTATTATCCTTTCACAAAAGGAAGTACATTTTAACATACACAAAATAGAAAGTTTATCATTTCAATAACAGGTCATTCATTCAACATTGATCCATAATGGGTACTAAATAATGCTACTCCCCCATTTTGCCTTAGACTGGCTCCAGTTTAGTTCCTCCATCTCTAAATCAAGTGGGGGCAGCCTGAAGACCAAGTCCAGACCAATGTCTTTTTTTGTCCCACAAGATAAGAATTTTTCTGTGAACATTTGTTGGTACTAGGGATTGAACCTAGGCTCTTGCAGTGCTAGGCAAATGCTCTACCACTGGGCTACATTCACAGCCCTTGTTATTTTATTGTGAGTCAGGGTCTCTTTGGCTAAATTGCCCAGGATGGCCTTGAACATGTGATCCTCCTGCTTCAGCTTCCTGAGTAGCTGAGACTATGATGTGTACCATCAGGTTCAGTTTAAGAATTTTTTTTTTTTTTTGTACCAGGGATTGAATTCAGGGGCACTCAACCACTGAGCCACATCCCCAGCCCTATTTTGTATTTTATTTAGAGGCAGGGTCTCATTGAGTTGCTTAGTGCTTCACCTTTACTGAGGCTGCCTTTGAACTAGAAATCCTGCCTCAGCCTCCTGAGCCACTGGGATTACAGGTATGCACCACTGTACCTGGCTACAAGGATTTTTAAGTATTTGCAAAATTTAAAATAATTCATGACATGAAAATTACATAAAATTCAAGTTTCATATAGTAAAATTTCATTGTACAATGGCCATACAGATTATTTTGAGGCTGTTTTTGCTCTACAGTGGCAGAGTTGAGGAATGGAAAAAAGACCCTCTGGCAGTCAAAGCCTAAAACAGGCTTTTCCTTCAAGAATAAGTAGGTTGGAAGCCACATGCCTATAATCCCAGTGACTTGAGAGGCTGAGGCAGGATTGCAAATTCAATGCCAGCCTCAGCAACTCAAAATTTTAAAAAAGGGCTGGGGATGTGCTTCAGTGGTTAAGCACTCCTAGGTTCAATCCCTGGTACCAATAAACAAACAAAAGGTAGGAGCAGGATGCAATGGCACATACCTATAATGCCACTAATTTAGGAGGCTGAGGCATGAGGATCACAAGGTAGAGGCTGGCCTGGGCAATGTAGCAAAACTCTAAAATAGAATAGGGCTGGGGATGTGGCTCAAGCGGTAGCGCGCTCGCCTGGCATGCATGCGGCCCGGGTTCGATCCTCAGCACCATATACAAACAAAGATGTTGTGTCCACCGAAAACTAAAAAATAAATATTAAAAATTCTCTCTCTTTAAAAATAAATAAATAAAATAAAATAGAATAGACCTGGGTGGTGACACATCCCTATAATCCTAGTGACTCAGGAGGCTAAGGCTAGAGAATTGCATGTTCAAGGCCAGCCTCAGCAATTTAGAAAGACTGTCTCCAAAATAAACTTTGTGGTAAAGCATCCCTGGGCTCAATTCTCAGTACTAAAAGATAAAATAAATAAAAAAGTGCTGGGGATGTAGCTCAGAAGAAAAACTTCCTGGATTTAATCCCCGGTACCAGATAAACCAAACAAACCACTATGCATGTTTCATTTCATTAATTTTCAAAATAATCATCTAAGGTAAAGTACTATATTATAGTCATTTTATAGATAGGGAAATTAAGGTAGAGTCAGATAACACACTGCCAATAAATATTGGAACTGTGATTGCTTCTTACAATTTCACGTCTTTTCTCTTAACTGCTTAGTTTCCTACCTGCCATTCTATTGCCACTATCTATTTATTGACATTGGCACTTTACATTAATAACTTATCATCTCACATCTGGACTAATGGCCCTCAAGTTGGTCTCTGCTTTGCCTGAAGAGATACAGATATTGTAGTTAGCTTTCAGATCCAATCATTTTATACTTTGCTGAAAGAAAATCCTTCTATGGTTCACCATGGCTGGCAAATTATACATTTCTTTCTTTTTTGGTACTGGGGATTGAACCCAGGGGGTGCTTAACCACTGAGTCACATCCCAGCTTTTTATTTTATTTTTTTTAGCACTGGGGATTAAACTCAGGGGTCCTCAGTCACTGACCACATTCCCAGCCCTATTTTGTATTTAGACACAGGGTCTCACTAAGTTGCTTAGCACCTTGCCATTGCCAAGTCTGGCTTTGAATTTGAAATCCTCCTGCCTCAGCTTCCCAAGCTGCTAGAATTACAGGTATGCACCACTGCTCCCAGCTAGCCCTATTTTTTTTTTTTTAATTTTATTTTTTAGTTGTAGGTAGACACAATACCCTTACTTTATTTACTTACATGTGGTGCGGAGGATCGAACCCAGGGCTTCACACAAGCTAGGCAAGCGCTCCATCACTGAGCCACAACCACAGTCCTCAGCTAGCCCTGTTTTTTTTAAATACCTTTATTTATTTATTTATATTTATGTGTGCTGAGAATGGAACCCAGTGCCTCACATGTGCGAGGAGTGCTTTACTGCTGAGCCACAACCCCAGCCCCCAGCTAGCCCTTTTTAATATTCTATTTAGAGACATGGTCTCAATAAGTTGCTGAGGCTAGCTTTGAACTGGTGATCCTCCTGCTCCAGCCACTTGTCAGTCACTGGGATTACAGGCATGCGCTACCATGCCCAGCCAAAAACACAATTAATGTTATATGACTGCCACTCTCAACCATGGTAAAGGTCAAGGGCAGATGTCTTCTCTTAATGTATATATCTAAACAGCTTACCCATTCAATGAATATTTATTAAATGCCTACTTTGTGTCAGGTATGATTCTAGGTGTTGAAGACACAGCAGTGAGCAATACATGCAGTTTATATTTTAATGGGGGAGGACAATGAACAGGATAAATTACATATTAGATGATAATAAGCACTTTGAAGAAAAATAAAACAGAAAATGAGGCAAATGTGGAGAGGGTTGAGTTTATAGTGTGGCCAGAGAAGGTGCCACTGAAAACATTTAATTAAGAGCTGAAGAAAGGGTGGAAGTCATGTGAATATCTAAGAATGATCTATGTAGAAGGAACAGCAGGTATATAAGAACCTAAGCAGATACATGCTGGGTGTTTGAGGGACAGCAAGGTGGTGAGTATGGCAGGAGGGACATAAATAAGGGGGAGAGCAAGAGTTGAAGTCAGAGAGTAGTACTAAGGTGTCAGACCCTACAGGGCATTATTATTATTTTTTTTTTTTAAAGAGAGAGTGAGAGAGGAGAGAGAGAGAGAGAGAGAGAGAGAGAGAGAGAGAGAGAGAGAGAGAGAGAGAGAGAGAGAGAGAGAATGTTTAATATTTATTTTTTAGTTCTCGGCAGACACAACATCTTTGTTGGTATGTGGTGCTGAGGATCGAACCTGGGCCGCACGCATGCCAGGCGAGTGCGATACCGCTTGAGCCACATCCCCAGCCCCTACAGGGCATTATGATGATTTTGCTTTTATTCCAAGTGAGATGGAATGCTGAGAATTTTGAGTAGAGTAAGAACATGATCTAAATAATATCTTTTCAGGATCATTATGGCTGCTGAGAGCATACCTAATTGGGGGAAGGCAAAGAGAGACCAATTATAAAGTTACTACAATAGAGGGGGGAAGAGATAGAGAAGGGGGGAGGGTATGACTTAGACCAAGGTGTAAGTTGCGGATGTGCTGAGAAGGTGTAGGACTTTGGATATATGTCCTGAATGGCAAGAAGATTGACTGACTTATCAAATATGGGGTGGCAGAGAAAGAAAGAGTGTACGAGAAGCAGGATCTGGGTTGGGGATATTCAGAAGCTTGATTTAGATGTAAATTTAGAATGCCTATTAGATATACCTAACAGGGGTCTGGGGGTATACAGTTCAGTGATAGAACATTTGCCTAGCATGCACCAGGCCCTGGGTTTGAGCCCCAGCAAAACACACACACACACACACACACACACACACACACACACACACACACACACACGAGTCTGCTGGACATAAAATATGATTTTGTAGAAAGGAAATGAGTTCAGGAAGAAATAAATTCGAGAGTTGTCAGTATAGAGATGTTATGGAATGTCCTGACACTGAAAGAGATCGTGTTCTGCAAGCAGCCCACCCTCCAGACCCTCCAATCCTTGGTATCCTTAAGGACAATACTTCCCTTGCACATTTGAGGCCGTTCTGTCTGGTGGAAGAGGACTGAGGCTCTCTTGGCTTCTTAAGGCATTCATACCTATTTGTTTAAAATTTCCAGTGCTTGATGCCTTGGGCCCTCAAGGCAAAAACAGTTTTAATTAGAGGCTTTCACAATTAGACCAGAGAATGTTTGTCTTCTCCTTCTCCTTACAGATTTTAAAAGGCACACCTCGGACAGAAATGAAAATCAACTGGTTAAAACTATTTAAATATTTCCGCAAGGAAACTCTTATGAGGACGTGTTGGCATTAGTTATTTGGAAATGAAGACGCACACACATACAAAATCGATCTGGATAGGAAGAAGTGCTCACACAGGAAGACCCTAAAGCACCCCTATTCCCCATACAGGTACAAATCCCTTCAGAGATTCCCTTCCTGAGCCTCCTCTACGAGATGTTAGGAGTGGCTTAAGAAGGCCGGGGAGATGGCCGTTGGGAAACAACTGTTGGTAGTTGGCAGTACTTCATCCCAAAGAGGTTGTGGCAACAACTCCCTCGGGCAGCAGACATCATGGATTTTCCTGCCTCTGGGACCCAGCGGTCCCTTCGTTTCTGGTCTGCATCCCTTAGAGACAAAGAACTTCATTCTCTCCCATGCCAGTGTGGGACTGCTGGGGAGCGTACGAGGAAGAGGGTTTAGAATTCTACCCCATGAAAGACCCACAGGTTGCAAGAGGGGCCTGGATCCTGACTGGTCCAGGAGGGGCGCGGGGTCGCTCCGGCGTGGGCCAGGCGCGTTGCCAAGGTGCGCGGGGAAGGGCCACCCAGCGCCAGCCGGCTCCGCGGAGCGCTCGGTACGCTGCCACGAAGGGCGGGCGATCTGCCTCCCGAACCTCCTTCCTTCCTCTCAACTCATTTTCCCGGGGAGCCTCGGCATTGCCCAGCTACCCGAGGCAGCGCTCGCCCTTTTTTCCTCCTCCTGACCCTCCCCAGGCCCGCCCCTCCCTCGACAGCCCACCTTCGCCCGCTCCTCCGCACGCTCCTGGGTCCTCGCCCC